AAAAAAAAATGACGTGGCCGAATTATAATTGGCCACGTGTAAAAAATGGTTTTGCAAAACTACCGTTAAAAAATAATGGCATGAATGAGCCTTTTCTTAAACGGTAATGGCGTAGATGAGCCAAACTTTTAACGGATGGCATAAATGAGCCTTTTCTGAAAGTTCGATGGCATATTTGAGCCTTTTCCCTTTTATTAATAGAAAACAAAACAATTTTCGTAAAAAATATTTTTTGTATTTATATTTTAAAAGTGCAATTACTATGCTTCCATACCAAAAAAATGATAGCTCGATACATGACAAGAATACTACTAAGACTCGAGGAGGAATTATTTGATAGTTTCATGACTTAAACTTATATATTATATCATACAAACACAAATAAACCGTTACTCCAACACTCTCCTGTGTCGAGATGAAATTACTATGAATCATTTGGATATTTAAGATGTCTCTTTATTTCTATATAATATAATATGTTATATTTTCTTTATTTTGGTGCTTAAAAGGAAAAAAGGTGAAAATGACGATATTACAAGGATGACTGGTGCAAAATTCAAGCAGTTATAACATTATAATTTTATTTAATAATTTTGAAGGCTAGTACATTATACAATAAGCTAATAAGAAAATTAAAGAAACACAAAGCTAATTATAAAAAGCTATTTTTTTCAACAATAGAATACAAGTCGTTTGGTTCATGGAATGAGATAGGATATTTCGTAATTAAGTTTGAAATTAAATTTACACTTCGTTTAGTTACCTTAATCAAACAAAGTATAAATTTAATTTTAATTATCCCATCGAATTTGGTGTTATTTCAACTTACCTTTTAAGTGGGATGAATCAGTTTAAGAACTATAATCTCGAAATAACTTAATTTCCAAACCAAACGATCCCAAAGAGAACATTCTTTGGATCAAAGAATTATGCATCGGTCTCTTTTTCGGCCTTTTCTTCCATTGCTCTGTGAAGTGGGTTTCACACTTCTACTTTGTACCGTCTTCATTCGCCTCCTGTAGTCAATATATAAATAGCGAATTTAAACCATGTAACTTAAGATAAAACCAAAAATGACACCAAATATGAATTGATGAGTTAAAATATTTATCGTATTTTAATTAAAAGGAAGTTAAAACTTTGACCAATATATACAATATTATTTTTTATAGAGATAGGACATTCTTCTGATAGAAAAATATTCGATTGACCACTCTATGATCTAGGTGGCTATGCTATTATTTGCACATCAGAAATATTTCATGGTCGATATTACATGATTCGAAATTCAAAGATAATAAATCAACCCTTCTACTATTTGTAACTTAAATGCAATAACTTAATTATGTCTCAATTCAAATAAGTTAGCTCAGCCGAATAAATCTTCATTAATCATGTTTCTCATTTAACTTTAATGACATTTTCATACTCAAAAAATAAATAAGAGAAAATAAGTTAAATGTTAAACTTTTATTTGAGATAAGTTTCGAATCATAACGTGCATCTAACTCAGGCATCACGTGCACGGTTTTAATAAAACCACTGGACGAATAGTTCTTTCTTTTCTAACACGTCTTTAATAATGTAAATATGAAAAGAAAACAATTTTCCTACCAAAATTTTCTCCATTTTTTTTATTTAAGAAAATCATGAGTTATTTTTCTTTATTGATTTTCTGTAAATTAAAAAAAATAAAATCAAAAAGTACCCCCCCTCCCCCCCGCGCCTCAAGAGAACCCAACTAAAAGGGAATAACATCTATTTATTCCAAAAAGTAGTGAAAAATCAAATCCAATTAGTTATGCGTTGAGATTAAGCTAAACTGAATAAAATCTAACTCTTCTTTTTGTAAAGATTTTATCACTTTATCAGATACCTTGCAATAATTAACTATGCCTCAAACCGAAAAATCAAGCGAAAATGATAGGTCGATGCACAAAAAATCTCACTTTACTGTAAGGCTCAAGGAAGAACCACTCCAAAGAAGTTAGCGCAAACAACCTGCTTGACTCAAACATCAAGGACTTCCGCATAAACGTATGATTCAAAGAAAGGCCGCAACCTAAGAAGTGTGATATACGTAGCCCACCTGATGCAAACATTGAAGGTTGATTTCACAACTTGAACCGATAACCTATATACCATACGAAGATAACTGAATCATTGCTCCAACGCTCCCTTCCTCAAAATTAGATTCTATACAGCTTGAAAATGGCATTTGGACAGAGGAGATTTGTTCGAAAAGAAGGAAAGAGGAAGAGATTGGAAAGAAGATAAAAAGGGAAAAGGAGAATTATGGAAGTGATATTAGTAGAAGGAATGTAAAAAGTTTTATGAAATCGTCAAGCGAGAACGAAAGCTAGAAGCAGGCGGGTTACACGTTCCATTGTCCTGAGATGAGATACAAGTGGTGATGATCACCCCAAAGTACGCACTAGCGCCTTTGGCAGACAATTTTGAACTTCATTTCGCGACCTTTCACTTCATGAAACCATAGTCTTCGAGACTGAGGAACAATGGGCTCAACCTCCTATCCTTCTTCACTTGTGCATTAGACTTGGATCGCTTGGCACAAGGGTCAAACTTGTGCCCTACGACACAAGTCCGTCAAAACTCAAAACTTCTTAGACCATAAAGAGCAAGTAAACACAAGAGTTAAAAAGGCAAAGCAAACAAATGCAAGAATATGAAATACCAATGAAATTACTCAATCAAAAGGTTTCAAAAAAGGACATTCAAGGTCCCTAATTGTAGAAAGGTTTGAATACCAAATGCTGAAGAGTTACTAACAACCAAACTACTAAAATGGGAATAGAGCAGAAAAGCATATACCAAAGAACAGCACTACAAAACAATGCAAATAGGAGAACAGGCAAGCACCAAAACAAAGCTAATAATGTCAAAGAACACATCCTAACCGGAAACAGAAACCTCATCAAACTTATCTGCCGTTCCTTTTTTTTTCCCTTTTATGTTGTACTTCCAATTTTAAAGATTAAGATGAGTTGATCAATTCTCACTTGGCCATCATGACCTTGACGAACTCGTCATAGTTGATCTGTCCGTCACCATCCACGTCAGCTTCGCGAATCATTTCATCAACCTCTTCGTCTGTAAGCTTCTCACCTAGGTTAGTCATGACATGGCGAAGCTCAGCAGCAGAGATAAATCCATTCTGATCCTTGTCAAACACTCTAAAAGCTTCCTTGAGCTCCTCCTCGGAATCAGTGTCCTTCATCTTGCGAGCCATCAGGTTAAGGAACTCAGGGAAGTCAATGGTCCCATTCCCATCAGCATCAACTTCATTGATCATGTCTTGAAGCTCAGCCTCAGTTGGGTTCTGCCCCAATGACCGCATCACGGTTCCAAGCTCCTTAGTTGTGATGCAACCTGCAGCACAGTTGCACATAGTTATTGGACATGTTAAGTTTTAAGAGCTTACAAGTTACGAACACTTACAACTAGCAATTCACATCCTCCCCCCCCCCCTCCCCCCTCTCTTTGGTTCTTCTTTATGTATAGATGGGAAAAGGCTTCAACAACAATATGGAAGCCTCAATCCCAAACAAGTTGGGACCGGTTACCTCACTCCTCCATTCAGAGTGTAAGAAAAGGAGAAACAGAAACACAAGTTTCATCACAATACAGTTAACCATCATTAATAAGAATTCTATGCGTCGATCTCCAGATATAAGAAGCCTATGAATGATCCCAACAATGAGGAATACAGTTAACCATCATTAATAAGAATTCTACGCATCAATCTCCAGCTATAAGGAAAATCAAATGGAAACTCATTTCCAAACAGAACAGAAATAAAATTGGCAAAATCACTTGAATTCCATTCATCTAAAAGCATCAACTATTTCAAAAGACAGCAGCTACTCATATTCGAGTACTTACTCTTGCTACCACTATATTTTACTTATTACTGCTATATTCCAATGGCATACTACCAGCCAGTGGATGTTTATAGTTACATACATATAATTACAAACTTGGGTTTTTCTCAAGCACATCTATAGACTTGAACGCACTTTACCTCCCGTGATAAAGCAATGAATGGAAGGTTGTGAAACCCACCATCACAAACACATTACCACATTGAACAAATGGAGACAATCCATCAAGAAATAAAGTCAAAGATATCATGACAAACTAGGTAAATCCACAAATAGAAAAAAAAAAAAAAAGGCAATTGACTTATATAACTTGATATAATCAAGAAAAATGCAACATCCAAAAACACGCTTTTCAAAACTTGCCAAACAAACAAATTCCCTAACTACCAAGAAATATCAGCCAAAGAATTCAACACATTGACCCAAAATCTAGAAGCCACCAATTTCTTTTGCACCCAAGGGTATCGCCTAGTTGTCATTTGTCAATGCAGTGAGTTGGTTCAAATCCCAGCGGATGTAAAAACAATAGGTGATTTCTTCCCACTTAACCAGTACTTGTGGCGGAGGTAAAAAGTACCTAATGAATTAGTCGAAGTGCGTGCAAACTAACCCAATACCACCATTATCAAAAGAAAAAAAGGATCTAGAAGCCACCAGCTTCACAATGGATCCATCAAAAACCAAACCCAAACACAAATTGAAACTACCCAGCTAAAGAAACAGCATGTCCAAGGATCAAACACCGAATCCCAGAATTTCCCCGTAATGAACACAAATCTCATAATTTGCACATCAATATCAAATCATGTATCAAAACAACTGCCATTCCAAATTCTAGAGGCTACCAGTTTATCATAAACCCATCTTCATATCCATTTCTATCAAAACAGCATAACAAAGAATTAAACACCAAATCCAACAATATTCCCTTAAGAAACAAAAACTCTTATCAGTAACACATCAACATCAAATCATAGATCACAGCACTGTCAATCGAAAGCAACATTAACCAAAAGAATTCAACATACTGAACTCAGAATCCGTCAGTTTCACAAATAAATTCATCAGATCAAATCCAAACACAAAAATTGAAACTACCCAACACGGAACACGACAATTAGCAGCACATCAACATCAAATCATAGATCAAAACACTGTTCAACAAATTAGAGGATAAAAAATGAAAAACTCAACGATTGGATCTGAGGTAAAATCAAAAGTTATAAAAGGGAAAAAGAAGAGACCATCTCCATCCTTGTCGAATAGGCTAAAAGCTTCTTTGAACTCCGAGATCTGATCGTCAGTGAGCTGATCCGCCATTATCGATTAATTCACAGAGCTTTTTTTTTAGTGTGTGTGTGTGAGAAAATGGAGAAGGCAAAGAGGTGTTATTATAATGGTCCAAAAATTCCTAAAGGGTACATCGTGGGTGGCCAAGCATCTTATTCTTTTTTCCTTTTTGACTCAAAATTACTCATCTAGTCAAGAAAGGAATACTTTGTAATCCCGAGTTTTCAAGTTCGAGCCTTGATATGATAAAATTGTATGTGACATTTTGTATGCTAGTGAAAATGTATTCGAACCATAATAGACCGAATAACAATGAGAACACTGAAAAAAAGAATTTGATTCAACTCCACATAAATCGTACTCGATGTTCCGATAGTTATCATGTAACTATCGTAAACTGAATCTTAAGAAGTAAATTGGATTGTTCGTGACATTTTGGATGCAAGTAAGAATTTATTTGAACCACAACGGACGGAATAAAACAACGAGAACACCGAAAAGGAATCTAATTCAGCTCCATATAAGTCACGCTTAGCCACTCTCCTACTTTCTCTTTAACAACGATGTTCTCATAGTTATCATGTAATTGTCGTAAACAGAATCTTAAGAAACATAATTGTATTGTACATGACATTTTGGATGCAAGTAAGAATTTATTTGAACCACAACGGATCGGATAACAATGAGAACACCAAAAAGGAATTTGATTCAACTTCACGTAAAT